CAAAAAAGAAGAGGGTGCTAATTCAACCATATTGCTTTTTTTTCAAAAATTTCGTCTTTCTTTTTCGATTTTAGGATCTTTTGGAAAGCTAGTGTATTTCTTAATAGATGCATGCTTCTGCTACATTCTGCTATCCTCCTTCGAGCGCGACGTCGTTCCGCCGAAAAGCGACAGTTTCGAAAAAGAATTACCGCCCTATCCCACTTCGTACTCATCAATCTTTTGAAAACCGTACCATCGTGGCAGCGACTACCATCGTTCATCTGAGTCGTGCCATTATGATTTACAAAATCACTATCTAAACCTTATGGGCTAAGCTTCAGCCATAAAAACTACCAGAAGTACTATCTGGATTGAGGCTCCAGAACAACCACACCCCCGTCAAGAGTTACTAGAAGTCGAGCATGGTCAACACCGTAACACCCCGTCGGCACACAATCCAGACGCTTCTGATTCTGTTCTGGTGCAGCTTTTTGCACCCAGGTACTGTAAACCAGCGAAATCGACCCCTCTAACCTTGAATAATGTTGAATTTTTATTTCGAAGAACGAAAGTTCCGAAATTGCATTTATCAGAAAGGAACAATTTCCATTTTTACACAGAGCATGTTTGGAATTCGAATGAAGGAAAGCAATCACAACTAAAATTGCTTTTGTAAAAAAAAAACGTTTGACATTTGAAAGCCCATTAAAGCTAAGTTACTCGAACAAGGACTGTCCGCATACCTATTTTAAACACTTCTCAACGATTTTCATAATTACCCGTTCCTGTCAGAAAAGTCAAATCTCTGCAGGTTGGCCGTTTATGACTACTTCTACGCTCGAATCGCCCCATTAGCATGCGCAAATGAAATAGGAACTGATCTTGTGGGCATATTTTCCCAGGGGACGTTCATATGCCAGCTGTTTCGAATTGATAGACACTACCATGCATGGTCACATGATATCATTGATTATTTTAGACTATTTTTCTATGATCTCCTCACAAATACGGTAGGACTATTATTCACTTCGAGCATGTTTTTGACTTATCTGACAATGAAAACGTCAGTCGTTGATAAGATTGTTTTGCTACAAGTCGGGGAAGCTCGGTTGAATCAGAAACATCCTTAAAATAAACTAATTTTCAAGTCTGTTTCTTCATACGCAACTGATTGAGGCGGGATGGTGTAAGGCTTAAGATCTTAGCCCAGAGATCGAATCCATCCACATTCACATTCTCCTCTGGTTCGGCTAATTTTTTAATTACCACATGTGTCTGTGAAGATAAAACACTGATTTGTATCTTAAAATAACGATGTAATTCATTCAATGCACAGGCCAGCTACACATTCAAATCACTGAGATTCGTAGTACAAGTCAAATTCATGGCGCAGTTCTGAACTGATTAGTTGAAACTATGACTACTTCTTGGATAACACGAAACTGTCCCCAAAACTGCCCCTTTAAGCTAATTCCTGCGAAGCAAACATTCCCAATGAGAATTCTTGAAGCTTTCCCACCCATTGGAACCACGGAAACGCTTCAAAATGCATATTCCCACACATGTTCGATTTCCAATAGCAATGAAAAGCTTTTTATAAACGTCGGACTCCTAGGCGGCCTCTTGAAACACCTTTTACCACCAACTATCTGAGTTGCCACATAATTTTAGGCAAAAAAATAATATACTAGGCTTTACTTTAATGACACGAGGATGGGCTACCATATACTATGTGGGAACTATTCATAGAAAACCATAAGAGGTACTCAAATTTGGTATAACATCAAACTGGATCAATTGTTAGAGCCTAGTGGCACTACTGAAAAAGGGATATGAGAGAACATTCGTGCCCGTCGGGATCTGCTCAAGAAGTTCACTCCCATGAAGGTCTTCCTAGAGCTTTTGGTTTCAAATGAGTTCGAATGTGAGATGGCGTCCTCCCGAGCCTTTCTGAAGCAGCAAATGATTTTTCAGGATGAAGATGGTATTTCCGGGAGTGGTAGGAGTGAAAAAGAGATCAAATGGCGAACGACAAGAAAGGATGCTCAGATATCGTAAACACTCTGTGAACGAAATAGTTTCAGACTTTGTTGGGGCTTTTATGCTTCAACTCTCCATGTGCTCACTGATTCCCACGCTCCAGTGATGGCGTCCATTGAGCTAACTAGACCACACATGTTACTTCTTTTTCTACACGGCCTCCAATTTTTCTCTACCAAAAGGTGAACGGTTAAATAGGTGTAGGTGAGTTTTCAGCTCCGCTCCGAACACGCCATACATTCAACCTGCACTCAGAACCATAGATGAAATTGAAAGCGCATAGCTATTATAACATGGACTCCACAGTTCTTCTTGACTTCATTTCTAGTAAGTCAACCTTTAGGCTGATTTACTCAATATGACGAGGGTTGCTCAAGTGATACCACTGACTACGGAGGAAGGAACATTCCAAAAGCCCTTCGCGCTGGCGTAGAACCCCTACACATAAAACCCCGATCCTCTCTGCTATTCAGCAATTGAGATGTCAACCAGAATTGATTTCAATTCAAGTTTCAGAAAACACCTCAACAAGATTTCTTTCGCAATTCCCCTACTCTTCGCTTTGTCAACACTTCTTCCAGTGACATTCACACGTGATGGAATACGTTCTTCAATATCGTAACAAACAGTGCATTCCTCGTATCTGTCATGAGTGCCATCGAATGCACAACGATCTCTCAATTATCCCGCCCCTGCACGCACGCAGCTAGGCGAACGCTCTTTGAGTGAGGATGTTCAACACTTACCAGCAAATGGTTCTCATCCATCAGCAGCTTGGCTCACACTTCCGCAAACCCACTCACCACAGGGAACTCTTTCCGGAACCGGAGAACCCTTTCATCCACTTATTGCCAATGAGCTATGAGACTTCAGATCGCTTTTTCGAATCTTCGGGCTACTCCAATAATGAAGAGAATGTCATTTTTTAATTGCACCAAAAATGAACGCAATTAGAAAGGCAGGCGTTCTAGGAATGGAAGAAAACTCGGAATACTCTAAATCATAAAGTAAAAAATAAGCGCAAGCTTAAAATAAAATAAATTTGCAAAAGAACTGTTAGAAAGATAAGGTTCAGTACTGATTGAACAACTCAAAAAAAAATCACGGAGCAGGCATTCATTTCAAACGACTAAAGGCTTTGGATGAGTAAAAGGTCCACATTTTAGCTTTTGTGAGTCATTCAAAGTTGGCGTCTGCACTTCTATTCGCTTAAGAAACTCGAGATAAAGAAAACTCCTTAGCTGATAAAGAACTCCCTTATTCGGTTCAGAACTCGATCCTGAACTATGAGCTCGCTTCACCTCTCCCCACAGATACCACCTAGGCTGACGCAATGAGAAAGAATGGTAGTGTATGTGGCTAAGGAACAGTGGCATGCTCGATTTCTTCAACTCCGTTCCCACGGTCCACGGATGAGACCGATCATGCTCTAGTAAAACAAGCTTTCCATACTTTTGTGGTCATTTGAATCCTGCAGGTTCTATTCACGGGGACTGAAGCACTGAAGTTCCCGGGGATAGACCTTGCATTGACACTGGCCCCGCAAAGCATGGTGTAGGCCAAATACCCACCCCATTCAAACAACGCTAGATTTCCAAACGGATATCAAATACGTAAATGCTGGAAAAACCTTAAAACGGAATTGATGAAAACTCCATCTTTCAACCCCAACGAGCTCTCTTCTAATCCCCAGTTGATCAAGATACTTGTGAGGGCCAAGAGATGCCAGCATCAAGGACACAGAGGCAGATCCCCACATTCTCAGAAACTTACACTCTCGCTTTCCCTCGTTTAGCCCGATTCCTGCCCGACTCCGACTTTTTTGGATTACTCCACTTTCCAATTCCCCCACTTTAATGTGACCCTTTCCAGTCAAATGCTTATCAGACCTCAACGATGGC